CCTTACCACAGGTGACTTTTTGGATGAAAGTTTGGCCAATAATTTAGTATAGTAGTTTCTGTCTGTTGAATCCAAGAATTCACACGTACTGGGAGCAGCGGACTTTCTAGGAAAGTCTTCATATTTCAGGTGTGATGTCTTCACTTCTGGTGAGGGAAAGATAGATTTGTGAATGAAAAGCATGCAACAGATAAGTTTTCTGATGTGGCAGCAATGCTTCCTATTTCATTTGTCATACACTTGCATGAAACTGTACACTTGAAGTTTGTATGTTCCAACTTGAAAATAAGTAAGATGCATCTTACACTACTGATAACAATAACAAGCCATCCTATAGCATCCAGGGGGCCCAACACCTTGGAAGGCAACCAGTGCTCAGCACAGGCTTGGTATTAGCGTTAATGTAAAACATGTCAAAGACAGTGGCTTTTAATATTTAAAGTCACCCTTATAGTTACATTTCATTTGACAAAAGTCTCCGAAAAGCTTAGGAAAAAATTAATGCATGCAATTCTAACAAGCTTTAAAGTTCAATGGAACAAGAATCACTCATTCATAATTAACACCAAGCCTTTCCTGAAAACATCAGACTATGCAGATGTGTAGAGTACACATTTGTAGCCTTGCTCATGAAGATAGGTCCTGGGTTTACATACCTTTAAGATGTATGGAAGCATCAAGCATTTCGGGGCACTGTTTATAAAATGCTAAAATAAATAACATCCCACATATCTTTAGTTATATTATGCTTGATTGAGCAGATATGGGGAAACTGCCTCACCCCATCCAAAGGCAGAAGGAAGCATTAATGTATCACAGAAATAGGGTTTGCTTTTAATATGTATGAGAAATAGAATCAGGAAAGAAAAACTTCTAGGTGACGATGTGAAGTCAGAAATGGGAATAGATGCCAAGTAGTCAGAGGTACCAGGGGCTAAAGCTTGTGCCTCTGAACTAAGATAGAAGGCAGGGTCTCCGAGCTTGGGAGACAAGGCCTGAGCTCTTGGATCTGGTGAGAAGCTGTGATGGGGTTATCTGGAACTCAGCCTACAGACAGAAGAACTTTGATATCTGAAACTCAGCCCACAGACAGACGAACTTTACACACAGAGCCACACTGGCCTGAAGATGAAAAGCTTGTAAAAACATGAGACCTCAAGGCTCATTCTTAGAGTGATAACTTCACCTGCACAAAGCCTTGGGCCCAATCCCCAGCTCTCATCAGCTGGGCACGGTGGCATCTAATTGTAATCCCAGAATTTAGGAGGGACAGAAAGGAGGATCAGATGGTGCTGGACATGGTAGGGTGGGGGGGGGGGGGCAGGGGGGGTGAGAAGATAAAGAAAATGAAGAGTGACCTCTCTATTTCTGTGCTGTGTGCTGGGACTGAACATGAACTTGAAACAAATTGTGCTGGTCCCAAACCAATGCTGCTGCAAAGTAACCCTGGCTGGAGAACCTAGAATTCCACATTGTAGCACCTGTCTTCAAAGCAGAGAGCGAGTCACAGCCGTGCAGGAGATGATCAAGCCCGTATCCCAGGAATTCTAGGTAAGGAAGAATCTCGAGAGGAACATTAAAGTAGCCGTACTTATCACAACCAAACTCATCAAAAGGAACCCTATGTGGGAATATCTTTGCCATCCATATTTACTGAGCACCTACCATGTAGTGGATATAGCTCTGGATATTGGAGATAAAGCGAAAAAACAGAAACTCCTTGACTATACTAAAGCTGGAGACAGACAAATAATACATTTTAAAATGTGAGGTAATAAATACTATGAGGTCAGATAAAGGGACAGACAGAGATGGCATGGTGGTCAAAGGAAGTCCTCAGAAATTCTCTGTAAGGTGGGGAGATTCTCAGGAGTTTAAAGATATAAAGAGATAAAACATCCAAAAACCTTGAGGTGAACCCTAGGCAGGGAAATCAGTTTTATATAAAGAGCCAGAAGTGTAATTAGCCTGAGTATTAGCATAGAATTCAGTGCCTGGGTAGATAGGAATAGACACAGAGACCCACAACCGGACAATGTGCAGAGAGAGAGAGACTTCAGAACCCTCCGTCCTAAATGGGTTTCCATCAAATCCCTCCCCTCGGGGTTCAGGGAACTCTGAGGAAGAGGTGGCGGAAAGAGTGGCAGAGGGGATGGAGGATGCCAAGAAATAAGGCCTTCTAGACACACCAGGACTGGTGCACAAAGGAACTCACAGAAACTGTCAGTGTGCACAGGGATGCACGGTCTGGGCCTAATGGGGCCTCCGTGCTACAAGGGAACGTGGACACATGCCCTCATTCCTAACGCAGGAGCTATCTCCAATTGGTAACCACTCATAAAGGAAAAATCAGCTTTCTCCAAAAGAGTCTCACTGGGTATACAAATCACACACATGGGTAGACCCTGTGCCCAGCAATAGCCGGCCAGCGCAAATGAACTCACTGGTTTTTGTTGTTGTTTTTGTTTTGTTTCATAATGCTTTGTCTGGGCCTTTTTCTTCCTTTACAGGTCTGTTGTGTACATATTCTATTATACATTATTTGGTTTTCCAATTTTGCATTTTTACAGGATGTCTGTGTGTGCAAATGTGTCTGTCTCTGCGGCTATATTGTTTCGTGTGCTTTTTCTTTGGCCCATTTGTTGTGTCTTATTCTTGTTTGTTTGTTTTTATTATTTTTAGGTGCCCATTTGTTTTCTAATAAGAGAAGGAAAGAAAGAAGGGGTGCAGACTTGGTGAGTGGGGAGATGGAAGGGATCTGGGAGGGGAAACCATAGTCAGACTATATTGTATGCAAAAAAAAATCTATTTTCAATGAAAAAATACAATTCACTGCTAAGGCTGGAGAGATGGCTCAGTCAGTGTCTGCTACAGATGCATGAAAACCTGAGTTTGGTTCCCTGGTGCTCAACTAAAAGTCTGGGTGGAAGCAGGTCTGTAACCCCAATGCTGGGTGTGGGGTACTCAGGCAAGAGGATCCTTGGTGCTTGCTGGTTGCCAGTCAACCTCTATATGTGCACACATGCACACACACACACACACACACACACACACACAATGTATTCATATATACACTTTCCAGCAGCACCCCCAAAATTCACTATAGCTAAGAAGATGGGTAATGGAGGAGGTATACCCTAAGCTTCTTTTCTTCCCCCATAAAATACTTATCTGGCTGACTGGAACATTATGGAAAAGACAAGATAAATCTGAACAAATTGAATAAAATAAAAATTTAATTTTAAAATATAAATGCTCCATATTTTATTATCTTTTCATCCACTAACAGACATCGTTGGCTAATTTAAAGAAGGCTCAGTGTCAGGATTGGGTTACCTCTTCTGGAGTTGTTGCCAGCAGAGTCCCATAGATCCCCAAACCTTAAAGGCTATTGTTCTTGCTCTTGGTTACCCCCTAGAACTTAGAAGTGAGACCCTATTGCTGAAGGCACCACCAACGTAAGTCAGAACATGGAGAAATCAGGCTGTTGCTGGCCTAGATGTTCCATTACTACTGATGAGTTTTCATAGTGCTGGATGGTGTTGAGCCCACTACCAAAGGAGAAGAGAAATCCCCAGTCCATCCAGCTGTGACCCCTGAGAGCTGCAGTAATGAATGACGTGCCCAGGGATCCCCACTGAGGCAATAGTGGCACAAATGTCATGGGAATAACCAACCTCTTTCTGGTTGGATTTAAGACCTGCTCTTTAAGATAGAACCCAGACCTGGTAATGTTTTCAGGACCTGTGGTCAGACAGATCACAGGTCAGGCAGAACCTACGACTTTAATTTGTTAAACGGACATAGCTGTAAGCTGACTTCAGGTGATTTATCATTATACATTAGTACATCCCTCAAAGGTCAGAGGAATTAACTCCAAGACCTTCAACCAGTCAAGATATAGAGAATAAGAGACTATGGAATCCCCCATATCACACTCACTCTTCCCAAGGCTCAGGGATCACTGTGGAAGAGGGGAGAGGAAAGATTGTAAGAGCCACGGGTAGTGAGTGACTGAAACAAAAACAGTGTTTTCCAGACACGAGAGGGCAGATGCGACACCATGAACAAGTTCAAGACAGACAAAACCCAGGAAAGAAGTGGACACTGGCATGAAGTTCCAGGCACAAGCTGAGGTGGGAGTGGACCTTTTTTCTAAGGGTGTGGCCCCTTAGTTGGTTGACTGTGCCCCAGCAGATGACCACATGCCCAAGAGTAAACACTAATGAGGACACAGAGCTGGGTGGGTGTGGAAGAGAGTGTGTATCTGGGAAGTTAGGAGGAGGGAGCTGAATATGATCAAACTACAGTGTGTGAGATTCTCAAAGAATTAATAAGAATATTTTAAACATAAAAACTGGAGGCCATATTCATTGAAATAACTGCTGTAGAGAAGATCATATATAATGTGCGGGCATACATATATTTATTTTCTTATCTACTTGATCTTTTCTATAGAAATATATTATCTATAAGCTAATTCAAAATATGGTTTTCCTATGGGCTCCTTTTTTCTAGCTTCCTAAGACATAAGCCATCTGTACTATGGTATAACAAAGAAACACTCAATCTGATGCTATAGTGCAACTGTAATTCCAACACTTTAATGTCTGACTATCTAGCAACACGACATGTGAAGCACAGATAATGTGTTTGTATGACTTAAACTACATTAGAATGCCATCACTTTAGTGATATGGACTAGAGAGTCATATCATTTACAATGTATTTTTCTAATATCTTAATGCGGCAGAAGACAAAAGATCCCCCTTCTCAGCTAAAACCCGGCAGAATTACTCAGGTTCCAAGGCACTGCCTTAAACTTCCTGAGTGTCATCTTAAGTCAAAGTCTCTATATTTAGGTGTACTTTGAGGCAATGCTTAAAAAGCATGTAAACTACTTTATAGACCACAAAAGGCACGAGCTCTTCGTTATATAGGCCGGTTAAATTTATTTAAATGCCTACAAGGAAGCATAAATGAGTTTAATGAAGCATGGCAGATTTTAAAGTTGCTTTATGGATAGTATCATTACCAGACGCAGTAGAATTGCAAAAGGACATGGAACAACTGGAAGGGATTTTCAAATGATCTTAAATGGCTTGCACCTCATATTTAGACACATTCCTTTGAAGTCAAATGACTTAAATACTATTTGGACAATGCATTTTAAAAGAATGAGCACAGAATCCAATCCAACCAGCAAATGTGACAATGACAACACACTGGGAACAAACCACGGACATGTTTAATATTGTATCACACAGGCAACATAGGATATTTTACAGACAGGAAAGGGGAAAATAATCTATGTTAAGGATGTGCCATCACAGGAAAACTTCTAGGGCAGGAAGTACTAATTAAATTGCCATGTAGTGGCCAGGCCGTGAATAATATGGAAAGTGAAAGCCCATTTTAATAAGCAATGTTTTTATGGTAGTAAGATGTGTACTTGTGTAGAGTATCCATGTGACCACTCTCCATACACGCAAGGCTGATCATTTTTCAATAGGAAAGTCTGTGAATATTTAGATGAAATTTTGCAAAGGAATTGCATTCCCACTAGTTTTTCTCTCTTTGAAAGAAAGTCTCTGGAATGGATGACTTGGAAAATAGGCTCCAATTTTCAGGAAGAAAAAGTTTTCCATACCCAGTGACTTAAAAAGCATTCCTTTCTTTATCCCATGAAAAGATGCAGTTTTCTTTTAATTAAGAGTAATGTATCCCTGCCAGGATTAATACATATCCACAAGTAAGTCCCCACAACCCCCTACAGGAAATATACATAAAAATATACATCATGAAATATACAACCATGAAAAGGGGCTTAAGACAACTTAAAACACAATAATGTGCTATAGAATGTAAAATATTTATTTCTAATAGAATAGTTATACACTTTGTGGTGGGAAGTGAAGAAAAACAATGAGTTCATTAGGGAGTATTTTCACAAAGCTGAAGATACCAAAAGAAACTATTCTTCTAATACAGAACTGCATCTCAAAACATCATGTCTGTTTGTGCTCTAAGAAAGGAATAACAGCAATCAGAAAAATCATTTCATGTAATACCCATGATAATTTTCCATAGCAAAATGGGATGCTACACAGAAAGCTATCTCATAAGTCCAGCGAAATAGAGTAGTAATGTTCATGTTTCTATGGTGAAATGAAAGCATCTGCTGAACTACTGGAACAGTGAGATGCTCTATTCTTCGATGTCCAATCAGAGGGATAACCAGCTATATAAACAAAAACAGATGCCACACCAGGAAGAAAAGAACGTGTGTGAAAATAGATTCACATACGGAGAAAATGAAGTTCAAAACCTTTTCTTCCTTGCAGACTTCATGTTTTGTAATGTCTTCAGTGGAGGTGAAGACAGCATTCAGACACCAATTCCAGAACATTCCAGTTAAAACATATGATAAATCCAGGACTTTTTACAAAATGAGCAAGTTTGTCATGAAGTTGTTAGTTGTTGCTTTGAAGGAAATAAAATATGGAGGAGAGCAAACACCAAGACTGCAAGCTTACTACATAAGATCTGTATTATATGGGAAAGTTGGAGACAAGGAAAGGTAGCAGTGACAGGCAGGAGGGGACAGAAACCTGCAGGGAGCTTTAGCACAGGCCTAAAGTTTCCTCTACTTTGACCAATATGTTTGAATAAATTTTGCTGATGCACCACACTGCCACCAGCCAAAACAGTTTCCCTTGATTTAGGGGATCTTCTTTCCTCAGCCTCATGAGTAGTGGGGGCCCAGGCTCATGCTGGTGCACCTGGCCGTAATTAAGCTTTATGAGCAACTGTCCCCAAGTCACTATGTCGTTGGTCACTTTCCCCAGCAAAGGTTTTCCTGCTTTTCTTCACTTGGATGTTTAGTTTTGTTCTTGGAAACTGAGGGTTGGTAGATCCAGAAGTAAAAACCAGACTTTGTCTCAACTCACCACAAAGAGAAAAACCAATAAATGTGCTTGTTTGTTACCCAGACACGTAAAGTGACAGCATGAGCTATCTACCCAGTAGAATATACTTGATCTCTATCGACAATGAGATAACAATAAAAAGAATAGATACCATTTATTGAGCATGTACTATGTGCCAGCTGTTGCTGTTATCCTAAGCGTTTGATGTTTGTGTCACAAAGAAATTCACCATCAGCTCAGATTTGATGCCTCTTCTTGTCTGACTGTGAATGCCTACTGAAGAAGCCCTCTATCTTGGGGATTATGCTGAACTACCATTTCTTTTTAATATCATTCTAATTTTGTTTAAGCTCCTTAACTTACTCAAGGCTAAAGTCATAAAGGGATTTTCAGAGAAGACAATTTCATTTAACAAACATTTCCACCTAGTTTAAGTAGGGCACACTGTCCTGTTCTAATTCATAATCAAATGCATCATTATTATTATTATTATTATTATTATTATTATTATTATTATTATTATTATGCTGTTTACATGTTAGTGCTAACAAACGCTCATCTCAGTACCTACCACAGGGCAGACATTATTCTGGGAGCTTTCTGTATACTCATCCATTCACTCCCAACTAGACTGCATTTCCAAGGATCATTTTGACATTCAGTGTCATTTGTAATCAAGACTTTCTAAGGTTACAATCATTAACAGGAGGTATTCAGATTTTGCTGCCCATGATGGCCATCCCACAGTCAGCTTTAAGGTTAGAGGTCTACTGTGCTAACATCACCTACCAGCAACACACAAGAGGGGCGGGCATTTGCTCTCTTCTTTGGATGCCTAGTCAACACAATAAAGTTACTACTGAAGGTAGTCTTTCAAACCCTACCATGCATGTAAACTCACTTATGATCATATTGTGCTAGGTACCATATCAGCACTGCAAGTGGAATTTGGAGGCTCCTTTATTATAACAGTGTTGTTTACAGGGTTGCCATGGAGCTGAGGGCAAGGGAGTTGGCTCATTACTTACTAGTGACATAGTCACTGATTGAGAGTGTTTTCAAGTGTTTTTAAGCTTTATATAAGAGCTTATAGCTATGTATAAGAAGTTTCGGTACATTCAGGCTGAGGCCAAACAATAACAAAAGACTTAATTGCCAATATATCAGATCCTGCTCTCAGAGAAGAATTCAGTAGAAGCTGAGGTTAGCCTATCCAACCAACCTGAAGGCAGATAGAGAAAGTAGGTGACCTAGCAAATAGGCCCTAGAACAGGATAAGGTTGAGGTCCAGAAGGCTCAGTTCATAGCTTTTCACACTGTGGAGTGCAAACTACAGTGTAAAATTGATTGAGTAAGCTATAACCTGCATTTATAAATTTAAACCCAGCACCACAGAAGATGTTAGTGCGTTGCCTATGAAAGGCGTCCTACGATATTTTATTTCCTATGTGTGGATGTGTTTACTGGGCCATGATACTGTGAAATGTACTTCTACCTATGGAGCTTGCTCAAAAGTATTTTAAGTCAGTGAGCTAATGAATACTAGGAACATTCCATTTTCTACTATAATAGCACACACGCTACTTAATGAAAAAGGCACCTAGATTCTTCATAACCAACAAGTAGACCGGTTGTTATAAGTGGAACATAAATCACAAAGAGAAACTTCAGTTCCATCCACTCTACAAAGTCACCCAACACATGGTGACTCTTTTGTAAGATGACACATCTGATGTCTGGAAGGACCTGTTCTGCTCTTCTGCAAGCCACTGCCGACTCTCAGAAAGTCCTTTAATATGTCAAATTGGAATAGACCAAATAGACATGGCAGCCCTTTACATTGTGTGTATATGTGTGCACGTATGTACATACATACGTAAGTGTGAAGTACACACATGTGCATTAATTCTGTTTCCCTTTTCAGAATACACATGAACTCACTGTAGAAGTTTAGAAAATACCAAAAACACAAATGACAGAAAAAAAAACTAGTCACAATCTAGCATCCCAGAGCTAACATGAGAGCCATACTGACTGTACCTCTTTAACCAAACTTTCTTCCTCATTTGTAATGAACACTGTCTTCTAAGTAAAGATTCTACATGATTATAAGGGCAACATAAGGCAAATGTCTAGCAGATGGCTGTGTTATAAATGTATTTCAGAAATTCCATTACATGGACTATTTCTAACCTTCATTATAAAATTTGATATGAACATTCTCTCAGACATTTCCTCTAAGAGATCAGATTAAAGGTCTGTAAACTGCATCTCTTTGACAGGGGGTGAGAAACTGTTCCCCAGAAAAGGCATGCCAATGTGCCTCCTACTGTTGACACCAACACTTCACCCAAACAGGTCTTAATCTGTTTTATATCTGGTATCAAAAATGTGGTATCAAAAAAAGTATGTTCTGTTTTAACTTACAGTGAGGCTGAACTGTTCCTGACATGTTTATTGAACATTTCCACTTCCTCTTTTGTGAGTTGCTTGATCGTGCCTTCTCTTTTGGGGCTCAGCTCTTTACATACGTGAAGAAGGCTCTTACACCTGATGGAAACGTTCTCTGTTGATTTGAACACTAAACACCGGACTTCGTTAAGAAGGTAACATTAGGAGCACAGTGACTTTTAAAGTCCACCATGGCTAGCTCTCTCTCTCTCTCTCTCTCTCTCTCTCTCTCTCTCTCTCTCTCTCTCTCTCTCTCAAAAGATCTCTTAGTGACAAACCCCAGGAGGAAGCAATATGAACTTTGCCTGTTAGTATAGATGGAAAGAGGTCATTTTATATATTTCTGCTCTGCTTTGAAAAATTGAAGCTTTTCCTTGTGGGAAGGTAACCAAGACTAGCAGTAAAAACCTCTCACCAGAGACAATGTCTCCCGCTCTCCTTTCAAAATGTCCAACAGCAGTGAATCTGAGGCATAAAACTTCAAACCACAGAAAATCACAAAGAAAAAAAACCCTCTTATTATTATGAACCCCAGGGTTAGAGCCTCCTCCACAGCAGAGGGAAACTTGCTTAATGCATCCCACTCAGACACTAAGGAAACAGCTCCAGAGGCCCCCATAACAGTACCAAAGAGGACACCCAACGTGGTTCCAGAGCCCGCTTCTCAGATGAGGCTCTGACCCACAAAAGCACCCCAAACTCTTTATATAGAAAAGGAGTGGTGTGCTGGGCATCACAGTGCACATGCCTTTAACCCAAACATTCAGGAGGCAGAGACAGGTGATCCCTGTGAATTCAAAGCCAACCTGGTCTAGTCTACATAGCAAGTTCTAGTTGTAGCCAGGGCTACATAGAGAGACCCTCTCAAAAAAAAAATGTAGAGGAGATCCTTTGCTTGCTGTCTTTCATCATCAACCCTCTCAATTGCCAAGCTAAATCCCAACTGGATTTGACCTCCCGACACCAGTGCTATCTTTCAGGCCCTTACCTAGCTCTGTCCCAACTCCCACTATGATGTGCCCATCATTCTGTTTCTAGTATTGTCTTCCTTAACTTTATCCCTAAAGTATAAATTTAAGCACCCTGCCCTCCCCATGCTGTTACAAGACAAGGCTTCCAAAACTCCTTCTCATGGCACAGATTAGATAGACCTACAGTTCACCTGGCAGCCGGGTCCCGGGTCCTTAGGAGACACTAGCTGCTCCTGCCTGTGTGTTTAGGCAACAGGAAGCATGCTCTTCGGCACCCGTCCATTGACCAACTCTGCATCCCTGAAGTCTCAGCTGAGGGATGAACTTCTCTTTGAAGTGTTTCCTGGTATGGTTCCAGCAGCCGGAACTCAGTGCCCTTCCTTGGCAGTCATTGAGTGAGTGCCCTTACTACAGCCTAGAAAATTAAATGAGTAGGTTTTCTTATCTATGGGAAGCCAAATACAGCTAAGCCTGCTTTGGGATCTCCAGAACCCTAATTACATGGTGTAGTAATGGACCGTTTTGTCAGAGTTCCCTGGAGTGTCAGCATCATCTTGTGATATACCTAGCTACCATTACTTTGTCTGGCACATAGAAAATGCTCAAGAAAGCCTTCTTGATGATGCCTTCACTTAATAAACATAAATTACAAAAACCAGCCTGTAACTTTTATCCTGGAGAAGGGAGATAAATCAGAGGATACCTACTAATATTTCATAGTTATGAGAAGATTCTGTCCACTCCCTACATTCCTGATTTAAAAAAAAAAATCAGTGTCCTCTGCCACACCAGAGATAACATTTGCTATTCATACAAGTTTGTAAGCACATACCTTTTGTATGAGGGAAAACACAGGCACTAGTCATTGGTTATATACTGAAATATGGATATCAAACATAGTGTCAATATCAATACCTGGCCTGTACACACAGTAGGTACTTAATGATTATTTTCTTTTTTAAAAGAGTGGAATCGTGGGATGGTGGTCTTGACTGCAATTACCCTCCTTTCCAGAAACAGTCTCCATATGGAGCAGTGAACCCAGTGGGTTATGGGTGTGGTAGCCATGCCCAGGTCAGAGCTGACTGTTGTAAAAGGATGTTTGATTCAAGTGGCAATCAGCCTTTCTTTGGATTTTCTTTTTAATCTCGGATTAAGGATGATTTAGATGAATCCCTTTATAGCAGTGGTGAGATGTGACTTGAGAGTGGTTGGTGGCATGTTCCTGCTATGTAGAGAGAATGACATGTAACCATTTGTAGTTCAAAGAATGGAGAATGATGAGAAGTGATGGCAGTCCTAGACTTTTGCTTAGTCCAGAAGATGACAAGAACCTTGGTGATGCTCAATGGCTGGCCCCTTGAGAGCCTGCTGCACCCTGGTCCTTCTCACAGTGTGGTTGTGTGAGATGCACACATACTTCCTTCTAATAGCTTTCCAAGGCTGGCTTTGGCTGTCCCTTAGTCATTGCCAGGAATATAACACAATAATATGGAAAGATATAAGAAAAACTGATTCCCCTGAATTTTCTCCCTACAAATTCAACCAGATGCTTTGGAATAATGAAGACATGGACCATGAGGTTCCTATTCAAAGACAGAAGGAAGATACTTGTGTTGAAATGTACAAACAAAAACATATGCCAATTCAGACTTCGAATGCTTGGCCTGGCCAGTGTCTGGCTTGCAGCGATGCATCCTCATGAGTTGAGTGCAGGCTGGCAATCTCTAAAACCTTCAAGCTTTCTTCTTCTTCTTCTTCTTCTTCTTCTTCTTCTTCTTCTTCTTCTTCTTCTTCTTCTTCTTCTTCTTCTTCTTCTTCTTCTTCTTTTTTTTTTTTTTTGCTGCAGGCCCCTCCAATAATGCAAAAAGCATGAAGAAATTTTCTAGTCTAGAAGTGAATGTTCCTAATGAAGAGAACAAAATGTTATGATAATCTGCCCTTCTTCAGCCATAAGTCCTATTGAAATTCATAGCTGAACACAGAGCCCCTTGATGACACCAGCAGCAGACCAGCTGTCTCCCCCAGCTGTTGCCACAAGGGCAACAGAGCTACAAAGACTTCTGAGAAACCCCCAACCCCAAAGAGAGGTGCTGACTGGTGGTCGCTGAAGAAAACCAGTGGCACCTCCTTGCTTGACAGCATAGCTTCCAGGGGTCACAGCTTCTCCAGAACCAGGGCTTACACTTTGATGCTCTGGCTGCCCCTGGCTCTCAGTCTTCCTGTCCGGCTGCTGGGCTCCTCCTCTGACATTTGATCCTGAGGAGCAGCAGGGCTTCTGCTCTGTGGTGCATCCCCATTTTTTCGAGTTCGTTTTTCTTTGGATTGCTGCTTAGATGTACGTATGCTGTGCCTCTGGGCATAGCCCTGTCTGAGCTCACTGGAGTCTTTAAGGGCTTGTGTCTCTTTGGCCCTCAGCTGGCTAGGGGCTGCAGTCCCCTGCTCTGGAGACTTCCCGGAAACCTCTCTCTTCTGAGACCTTTCCTTTTTTTGAGCCTGTTCTCCATGTCCTGACTTGGCAGCAGGCTGTGGGAGCTGGGCTTCTTGGATTGACTGATTCTCACTGAGGACCTTTTCTTGAACTAATCCTTCAGACATTTCTGGGTTTGGGGACGTACCTATAGACTGAGCCAAGTCCTTCTTTCCAGAATTTTGTGCTTTGCGGGTTTTCTCCTCCTGGTTCTGGGGGTCTGCAGAGGTGGCTTTGGTGTGGCTCAGAGGGGACCCCGAGTCAAGGGGGTGAGACACATTCCTAGGAGTTGGCTTGTTGTGGGATTCCCACTGCTGAGCTGTCTGAGACTTTCCGGCTGGTATCTTTCTCAGGTGTGGGGACCCTTTAGCTGTCTCTCTCTGCCTGAGATTTTTTTTCCTTGTGTCCTTCTGCTTAGCAGTCTCCTGGCTGTGAGGTGAGGCCTGCAGACCTGGAATTTTCTTGTTGGAGGCGTGACCGTGACCTACTTTGGGAGTTTCCCTTCCCTTTGCAGGTTTCGAAGCAGGCCTTGGCCTAGTGTTCTGAGGGAGTGAAGGTTCCACAGAGGGGGCAGCAATATGTGGGAAATGGACTGTGGGCGCCGCCGCCTCTTCCTGGGGAGGGTTGGGGGAGTGCTGCTGGGCTTGTTCCTGGACCGGGGGGCTAATAAGTGGGAGCTTCACCTCGCTGGCTTTTCCAGCATGGGCTTGCTGTGGACTATGGGCTGCATTGGGGCTTGGGTTTGGGGGCGGTTTGGACTGGGGAGGGCTGATGAGAGGAAGCTTACCGGGGTCATCCTGAGTTGGGAGAGACCTTGGAGAGGGAGCTGGGGTCTGATCAGAGCTTGTCCCCAAAGCCTCTTCCCTGCTGGGAGACAGAAGCTTGGGTGTGGGTCTCCTGCTCTGGAGAGGCGCCAGGTTCTGGGGCTGGGGAAGCCTGGTGGGAGCCAGTCGGCTTCTAGGAAGCAAGGCCATGGGCTGCTCCATGACCTGGGTATGTTTTGAGTTTGTGGATTTGTCTTGGGGAGGTGGAATTTCTGGGTAAGGAGTACTGGCCCGGACAACTTCTGCTTTGGGGGTTCCGTCCTTCAGAGGTGGTTGGGAGCCCCCAGTAGGCTTCACTACATCAGAAGGGGCAGGATCTTCTGGGGGATTGTGAGGGGAACTGCTGGGTGCAGGGTTGGCCGGCTCAGTTCCCTCATCCTGCACTCTCTGAGGACTGAGGGAAGCTGGGTCGGGTCCAGCAGGTTCAGGGAGGGTTCTGGGAGCTCCTTTGCTCTCTCCAGATTTCTTATCCTGGTCTGGCTGAGGGCTGGGTTGGGGAGGGGGGTTAGGATGCTGAGGTGGCTCTTGAGATGCAATAGTAGAAGACTGTCCTTCTGCTTTTAGCTCATGCGGCCCAGGCTCATCTTCAGGCTCATCCATCTCAGTGATTATCTTTGGAGGAAGGTGGGCTGCCTGACCACCCCCTACCTTCCCCTTTGGAGATATGTCTTGGGCTGGCTGAGGATTACCAAGTGTTGAAGAGCTGACCTCCTGAGGTGGATTTAGGTGGCTGCTGGGAGAAGGATCCTTCTTAGGGGGCTGTCCCTCCTCAGTTGACTCTTGGCTCTGTGGGAGGGGGCTCTTTGAATGAGTCTGCACTTCCAGGAGAGCTTCTGGGTTTTGGCCATCTGCTTGCAGTCTTGCCAAGCGCCTGGGGGAGGGGACCAGGTGTGCTGGGACCCCAGAGATGGTCTTCTTGCTAGAGGGACCTCCTGCTTTAATATAAAAAGAAGTTAGCTACTGCTAGAAATAAACAACAAAATCCCCATTTCCCTTGGTGTCGCACAAGGAACCTCTAAAAGAAAACCACAGGTAGATCTTCCCTTCTCCCTGTAGAGACGGAGTGGCTACAATTCTCTAATTTGATAGAAGTCGGGACCATTTCTAGTGAACTGAAAAGAAAAGATGAATGGTAATGAATAAGCATCCAGATGTTTGCTCGCTCAAAATCAAGTTTGGATCTGTGGATGGAAGAGAGATTTTCCAAATGAGTGAGACTGGTTTTGCTGTTGAACAGTTAAGACATAAGCTGTGGTGCCTAGAGAAGTCTGTTTCCTCACACCCTCCAGGCTCAGCATCCAGCAGGAACTCTGAGGGAAGGCATGGCTTCAAGGACGTCATTAGACACCGTGGTCTGCTTCTGCAGGTCAAGGGTCCAAGCTGCCATCCTCAACCCCACCATTACCCATGTCTCCCTGGCTACAGAAATGGCTTCCAGAGGCCACTGCCAATACTGGTACCACAGAGAGGGCCTGCTTCCCCGAGTCACACCTCCTCAGAGTGGCTCTGGTCTCCTGTCTGGCACTTGTGTATAAATGACAGAAGCCTTGACAGGCTTCTGGTGAGCTAAACACAACCTTAAACCAGCCCCGACGGCACCATTCTGAACTGTGCAGGGGCGATAGGTGATGCATCAGTCTGGAACAACCTAGACGAAAGCAGTCAGTCTGAGTTTAAGTTGGGAGAGACTTTGGTGACCCCGGAGTGGTCCATCTCCTGCAGCAAATGTGTCCCTGACCACTGTCATCTCCCCAAAGGCAGGGTGGCTGTGTGCTCCTCTAGCTTCACAATGAGCCTTCTAGCTTGGTCTGCTTGTGTAGCCAGTTAAGCGAGATGTCTCCCGAGAGTGGGAGGGAACAGTGGGCCGAGTGAAAAGCCTCCCCCGTGGTAAGGTTTCTAATGGTACCCTCTGTTCATCTTTTTTTATCACCACATTTACCACAGGCAGAAACTAAAACACAACTTTAGACAAGAAAGAACGTTAAATTTAAAAGTGAAGCTAATTAGAATGGGCAAATTTGCAGAGATCAGAAAGTAGATCAGAGGTTAGCAGGGGCGGGAAATGGCTACTTACTGAGCATGGACTTTCTGTTATAGACAGTGAGAAACTTTGGAAACTGGCGGTAGTGATGGTCACACAGCACTGAGAATGTAGTTACTGCATTTCACACTTAACATGATTAAAACGGCAGACTAGGGCTGGCAAGATGGCCCAGAGGTTAAAGCCCTTGTGGCCAAGGTCAATGACCTGAGTTTGATCCCTGGAACCCACATGGTGAAAGGGACAATGAAAGGGACAATCAGTTCCCACAGGTTGTCCTTTAGTCTTCACACACCTGCTAACACACACACACACACACACACACACACACACACACACACACACACTCGAGTAAACAAATGCAAAAATTCCTAAAGCATAAAAAAGGCAAATTATATATGCTTATGTGATGCATGCAATGGAAAGCAAGGCAAAAGGACAGTGAAACTCAGCGCTGACGGCACTCTCCTTTTACTTTTACGGGTAGACATACAGGTCTTCTTTTTCTACTTTGATGACTTAACAATTCACGAAATTTGGTTAAATGAAACCATGCCCTTTGCTAGAAGATAAAAGCACCACTTTATGGGCTGGTAAAATTGCTCCATTTTTTCCTTTGTCATTAATCAGAATTAGGAAAAAACATAATTTCATTTCATAACCTTTAAGGCGAGAACTCAAGGTTGCTCATTAGCTCCACTTCCTCAAAGCCTCGCCAGAAGCAGTGACAGACAGAGACATGGGATCTATGGCAGCAGTTCTCAACCTCTGGGTGGCAACCCCTTTTGTCAAATGACCCCGTCATAGGGTTGCCTAAGACCATTGAAAAACACACAGGTATTTACATTCGGATTCATAACAGTAGCAAATTGCTGTTATGAAGTAGCAATAAAAATACTTTTACCGTTGGGGTCACCTCAACATGAGAAACTGTATTAAAGGGTCCCAGCTTTAGGAAAATTGAGAGCCACTGCTCTACAGAGACCGAGGGTGAACATACCCTTACATCGCGTTGCAAATGGAGTGAGTTTCTCCTTACGTCATAGAAACTATACTGTTAACTTCATGCTTTGGAAACAAATACTTCCTACATTGCTCTGGGGAAAATAAGACAGTGCCATACTTAACTGCACACATTTAAAATTAATGACACATCTAAAGTCGCAGGAGCTTCTCAGCACTGAATGCCTAAAGTTATTTATGCATGCGTTCAGTGAAAGTTCAACCAGCCTGTCCTGAGAGGGTTCATAGTTCTAAACTTAGGAGGGTGGGTACCATCCTCAGAGCAGACAGCCTGGGCTCTTCCAGCATTCTGCTTCATCCTCATTGTTATGTGGACATTATCATTGTGATCCCAGGGACAAACGAGCAACTTATGATCACCAGGGATGAAGCCGAATATTATTACTTCCAATATTTGGGAACTGTCTTTAGGTTGCACTGACACAGGATTATCTCTTTTGGAAAGATGATGCTATTGGTGTCAGATCTTTGTTTGTACTGCAGCTCAACACACAGATAACTCTTAATCCAGCTGGGGAAAGCCTCAGCTCTCCAAGCCAGACTCCAGTCATGAGCCACAACATTACAAGCGGTTTTCTTTTATGCTTTAAGAAAAGGATGATTTTACAAATTCATAGTTAGATTTAAGACAGAAAAGTAAGCCTTCAGGTACCCAACCAGTTATCCAACTGTTCAGACTAACCTCTCATAGAATCTTAAATATAAATTTCATTTTCTCTCCTTTGACATTTTAATTATTTTTAAATACTCTATACTAAGATGTTTGTTTTAATTTTAAAGGTTGGCCCCTTCTCAGGGAGTCTTTACAGTTTCAGAGGAAGACAATTATGCCTGTACCCTATGATGACCACTGTTGTCAATCTGACATAATACCTACACTTTCCTGGGAAGGAAGTCTCAATAAAGAACTGTATACATTGGGTTGACCTGTGGACATGTCTGTGTGTGACAAAACTCAGTTCACTGTGGGTGACCCCATTCCCTAGCAGGGGTTCCTGAACTACGTAAGAACAGAGGAATCGTGCTTAGCACTAACAAGCGAGCGAGCATGCGTGCATTCATGTCTCTTTGCTCTTGACTGTGGATGTGATGGGACTTAGATGCCTGAAGTTGCTGCTGTCTTGGCTTCTGCATAGTGAGGAACTGTCACCTGAAACTGTGAAACGCTTTTTCCCAATTGCTCTTTGTCATGGAGGTTTACCACGGCAGCAGAAATGAAACTAAAACAGCCCCCATTCACCCGTATTGACCCTTTAAACAGGTGACCCTCACCCTTGGCAAGAATTTAACAGTCCTGGAATTCACAGAAGCCACTGGCTTGAATTCTTGGGCCACTAGAGATACTCTAAAAGCTTATTAATAAGGACTATATTCATTAGAATTTCAAATATACTCACTTGAATACTGTCTGATCCGTGCAGTGCCACTGAAGTGGAAGTTTATCTTTAATTATCAACTGAAAAAATAACTCTCTCTGCAAATTAACTGTAAACATGAGATAAGGGTTTTGCCTTAAGAAAACACATTCTTTTTCAGAATATTAAACCTTTTAAAAAATACAGTTCTGTTGATGATATAGATCTGATGGCTGATTGTAATCCAGCCTACTTTTCAAGCTAGAATTCCATTATTCAATAACTAGATGCTGCAATTTCGATTGGTAAATGTTTCTGAGAGTTATAACATTTTTATAAATTCTATAATTTATACCTTTCATTAAATCAGATAGGCCTAACCTAATTATTCCAAATAAGTAAGATTTTATTATATACTTTAAAGTGGGAGTCTATTTTCCCTGTGCACACATTATCTCATCTATTAATTTGCCAAATAGTAACTGCACGCTGTAGACAGTGTCCTGATCACTGCAGAAATAAGAAGAACCACAGAATATCATGCTGGAGATTGAGGCTGTTGTGTAGGTCATACTCATTGCCCCTCTATTCAGAAGCACCACACAAATACAGACACTTTTTAGTTACTTGGGGAATTCAGTGTTTATCCAAATCCCCAAGAGGCTGATGGAAAAGCCAGTACACCAATTTATTAACTTACAATGGGAGATGGGTCAGGTTCAGGGAGCAGGGCAGGGTGTTCTCACGTAAGGTACAACCCCCAAAGGGGCCAGGGCCACCCAAAGGGGCCAGGGCCACCCAGGGGACCAAATTAAAGATCACAAGGTTGCTTGGATAGCAAAGAATTAAAGCAAAGGGACCATATTTTCTCAAGAGAAAGCTCCATGGAGGTCCAAAGCTCACTAGGTAAGCTGCACTGAGGCCTATTTTGGTAGAGCAAGCTTACTTCGAGTATTTTCTGGTTGCCATGCCATCCCTTAGTGTCTTTAATATATGAGACACACACAGTAGGAAAGTCAGCTAGTATCTGAGTTTACTGATACTCAATCCAAAATACAAGGACTAATTGACCTAGGAAGAGTTTTCAAAAGTGCAAATGTCACAGTGAGCTTGAGTGTTTGAACTCTGTCAAGTCACGGCCTGGTCTCCCTTCTCAGTCTGTCAGAACACCACCAAGCAAAGAGGTCCTATCTGGACCACCAAGCTGCAAGACATCTACAGAGCAGCAACAATCTTGGGTCAACAGTCTGCAAATATGTCCGTATGACTAGATTTCAGTCCCCGAGGGGCCTTTAGAAAAGACTCTTGTTGTTGTAGAAAAACATAAAATTTGCCATTTTCACCATGTTGAGATTATTAGTCAATGCACTAAGTCCATCAACATTGCTGTGAAATCATCACTGTTCATCTCCAGAATTCATCTTCTAGACTCTTAAACTCTACCCATTAAACAATAACACTCCATTCTGCACTTAGCCTCTGATTAACACACTTCTGTTTTCTGACTGTTAATTTGACTATTCTAAATACCTCATGGAAATGCAATTGCAAAGTACCTGTTCTCTTCTGACCAGCCAATTTTATTCACCACACTGTCTTTGAGGTTTGTGTAATACTGCGTGTCAAAATTTCCTTCCTTTTAAACATGAAATATCATCAAAGACCGAATACAACACCTCCTTCATCCACTCATCCATCACTGAACTCCAGTTGCCTCATCCTTTGGCTAATGTGATTGGTACTTCCTCAAGATCTCATTTCCATTGACTTAAGGACATTTATCCAAAAGTGAAACTGCTAGATCACATGAAAGTTGTCTTCCTTTCTTTTCTTTTCTCTTTCTTTCTTTACTTTCTAGGAATTTACGTACCATTTTCTGTAGCAACTACATTTTATATTCCTTTTAGCACAAGGTCCTAATTTCTCCAGACACTTTTTAGTAAGTAGCCATCCTAGTGGGTGTGAGGCAAATTTGATAGGCAAGCATTTCAGATAAATCTCAAAATAGTCACATCCCAAAATTCTAGGTTTAGAATTCCTAGGTTCCAAGTCAAGGCTCTCACATGTCCCTCAGCATTTGCTGCTCAGGATCCATGAGGCAGGAGAGACGGGTGGTGTCTATTCTTTGGGATGAGAAATTGAAGCCCAGAACAGCAGGGCTAGGCCCTCTCCCATCACGTGTTCTGGGCAGTGAGCATCCCACTATTCTCTACAGTGCAACATTTTGAGGACTGACAGTTCAAAGAAAGTGTAAGAAAATTCTCACACTAAAATTCTTGAACTAATATATACTTGATAGCTAGGTACAATACTCTAGTTTCACAAGGGAATAGACTTCTGGAATTCTGAGTTCTGAGCAATAAGACCAACTCTTACCTATTGTCCACTTCCAAGGCACTGTCTAGTGCGTCCCTGGGATGGGGGAAGTATCCCACTATAGACATGGATACAAGCAGAGTTACAGATCGAAAGAGCTGATTCAGACATCTCAGAAAAAAAAATATAGGAATTAAATAGTGAGAGCCAACTTTAGCCTAGCTAATGAGTACCCAAGTAACAACAGAGTGGCCTTATTTTCCATGGAGAATAAACTTGGTACAAAGGCAACAGGCAAGTACCTGCAGTTGGGGCCAAGCCCTTATCAACTTCCTCCGTCAGCCCCAGGTATTCTCGAATGATCTCACTTAGCTTTTTGTAGGCAATGTCCAGGTCATCTACAATAAACAAGAGAACATCTTAATATACCAGGATCATATCAAAACACAGTCAGCGTTCAATGGTCAGTGAACTGGCTTGCTCGCTGCACTTCATTTTATTACTGTGATGGCAGGTACAATTCTAGATGATTCCCTCTCCAGTATCTCTGCCCCCGAAGTGGGCAGAACCTATGGAGGTGAAGAGCGTTCATGCCCACGACTACGTTACATCATATTCAAAGGGGACATGCAGGTATAATTAAAGTCACTAACGGCACAAGTGGTGCAGGACACTGTGGAGGGGAGCTATCCAAGGGGCCACCCAAATCATGTTCACAGAATAAAAGTCAAAGGCTCAAAGCACACAGAGGATTCAACTTGCTCTTTGCTGTCTAGCACTGTACAGATAACACCAAAGAGCAGCCTGGGAACTATGCACAGACTTCAAGAGGCAGCCAGCCAAGAGTAGGAGCTCAGGTCCACACCCCAAGGAAATGCATTCTGTCAATAAGAGGGAACCTGGGAGCCCAATTTTCCCCCAGAGCCTTCAGATGAGACCTTGGCTCAGCTGACACCTTCATCTCAGCCTCACGGCACTGACTTCAAGCCCTGTTATTCTGCCTTAATCTGGTGAGCAGGCACTGGGTTAAGCATTAACTATGTGTATCTGTATGCGGCTGTCTAAAACCAACATGGATACACAACACTGTAACAAATTTAGAGGTTTGCAAGAAAAAAAAAAAAAACGATTAAGTGAACCATATAAAATTGTCATTTGCATAATAGTTGAATACCAGCAATATCATATGGCTCAAATTAATGTCCCCTATTCTATCCAGTATCTCACCAAAAGGCTGCTATGAATCTATTTATTTTATTTATTTGTTTATTTAAGACGGAGTCATCCTGTGTTGTCCTGTTTGGTCTGGAACTCTCTATGTAGACTAGGCCAGCCCTGAACTCACAGAGATCTGCCTGCCTGCACCTTCTGAGTGCGGCTCTTTTCCAATGACTGCATTTATTTATTTATTTGTTGGAGGGGATGCATGTGGCAGTCAGAGGAAAACTTGTAGAAGTCAGTTCTCACTGGGTTTGGGTGGCGCACGCCTTTAATCCCTGCCCTTGGGAGGCAGAGGCAGGCAGATATCTGAGTTCAAGGCCAGCGTGGTCTACAGAGTTCTAGGACAGCCAGGCTACAAGGAGAAACCCTGTCTTGAAAAACAAACAAACAAAAAGCCCAAAAACAAACAAACAAAAAGTCAGTGCCCTCCTTCTGCACTCAAGTCATCAGCAGGTACCCTCCCAAATGCCGAAATTAAAGGCATGTGTCACCATGGCCCAGCTTATTTGATATCACTTTATTTGACATATTTGTACATATTTATGAAGCACAAAAAACAAATACATTGTATTTATGATCACATTTGGGTAATTATCATGTCCTTTACCTCAAACATCCACTATTTCTTTGTGGTGATAAAATTTAAAAATATGTGGGTAAAAAAATGGCATGCTTTATTCTAAGGTAGTTTTTGAAAATGTTTGTTTTATCCAGACACTTTCAAATTCCAATATTTTCAATAGCTGCATTTCTTTGTAGAAGTAGATCATGATAAAATTACCTGAGCTTCATGTGCCTTTAGAAGATTAAGCATGTATTTCAAATGAGATATTATCCATCTTTGTTCTCGAAATGTCCCCAGGGGAAGGAATCTATGTGGGCCTGTTTTATACCAACTCTATTAGTCACTACTCTGTGGACTAATACAATTTAACCCTCTGATGGGAACAGTGGGAGACTGGATGTCACAGGTTCTTACCTTGCTTCTGCAGCTCTTTGCAGCTTCTAATTACAACAAATATCTGTTTCCTAAGCATTTTCTTTCTATGACATGACTTGGAAATGCAGTGACTGCATACTTCAAACATGAAAGAGCATTAAAAAAATAAATAAAACTCTGCTGGGCATTACTGACCTGCATTGATTACTGCATCAAAATATCCTGGAAATTTCCGATTCATTTTAATATAAATATCCACCCTGGAGACGGTGAAATCAATTTCTGCTCGACTAAATAATCCCTTCCTCCGCAAGTATCCTTCGTATTTTTCCTTGTCCATAGGCACCACCAAGATATACCGGGGCTCGAAATAGGAATATTTCAAACTTCTTACACCCTGGGTGTTTACAGAAAAGGTAAGTCAGATGCGCCATCTGTGGACATCACCATGGAACAGTACCACTCGGGTAGCACATGGTATCACTCTGAAGAACATATTTTATCTGTAGAATCAGCTGCTATTTTCCTATAAATATTTCAAGGTTGGATTACTTTTCTCTCTTCATCAAATATTAAATTATTACAGGAACCATTACAATTCATTCCACCTGGTTGTCCTCAAATTAATTGTTCTAATGAATATGGCTACTAGAAAAAAGAAAATTGCCAGACATAAAATAGGGATATTCATGGCAGCATTGCCATTTTATTATCAAAAAGTAATTCAATTCCATATTTCAACAGGCATCCTTGAAGCACTAGAAGATAGAGATCTTCCCAGGAAAAAAAGGCTCCCCTGGTACCCTTTGGTCATCCATCACTTTGGTACCATTCTTGTTTCTAAAGCAGCAACCCAGAAAGGTAGGTGTGTGTGTGTGTGTGTGTGTGTGTGTGTGTGTGTGTGTGTGTGTGTGTGTGTGTGTGTGTGTAGAGAGAGAGAGAGAGAGAGAGAGAGAGAGAGAGAGAGAGAATTTTAGCATCATGATCAGCAGTCACAGATATAGCCCTTGAGCTTGGAGGAGTTGGGGAGCGGGTTGCCAAACATAAGTGTTGTCTAAAACATGTCTTCTCTGTAGCAGCTAGACCTCGCTACCATGTACTTGGCTGAGTTCACACATCTATGTCACCTGTAGCTTCCTTTTCACTTCTGTGTCTCGTCTCTTGCTAAGTTTTATCTCTTGGCAGTAATTAGACTCTCCTGCCACCACCACAGCTGTGACTGCTGCTGGAACCACCGAAGCCACATGGCTTTTATGGTTTGTTAAAGTACTGAACCCCCAGCATCTAGGGGCCAGAGCTTCTGCCTCCAATATTTCCTCCTTTTGTAGATGCAAAATTTAAAGGCTAGTTGTAATAATTGCCAAAATCATTGTGCTTGCCCATCTTCCAGCCTCCTTCCAGAGGGTGCAGACCAGAGTCAGCACAGCCTGCTATCAGGTGACCATAGGGTGAAGTGCTGTGGACTCTGAACTGGGAGAACTGGGCTGTGACTTCAGCTCCATTGTTCCCAAGGACTCTGCACACATCCCTCAAACACTCTGGGCAGAAGTTCCCTCCTAGGTGAAGCAGGAGAGTTGTTCCAGGTAGACTGTAAAGTCCCTTCCATCTAGGTTCTAGTGTCATCAGTTTAACTCAAGTTCAGAATTTTTGCTTTAATGATTCAGTGGGAAGAAATATAGGCTGCTTTCAAAACAATTTCTCAGTGACAGGGGCAGTCTGGAAAAAAAAATACCTCAGCTGGGGAGAAGCAGGGGAATAAAACATTTATAGACTTGACCTCCTGGAGATAAAGAGTAGTAAGCTCTCAGGAAGAAAAAAGGGAAACAGGAGCTGTCTGTCACTCAGCAAACTGTCGAGCTGGAAAAAGGTGGACACGAAGAGATGGAACACCGCGGCACTCAAACATGCGTTTTGTTTCCTCTGTCCGAGGCAGACAGTTTTTAGAATCGATCTTTAAAAATAAAAAAAAATAGAGAGAAGTAAAGCAGACTTCGCTGAAAGAAACAGAGCCAGGTAACTGCAAAAAGATAGGAATGGATAATGATGCAGAAAGTTAAAGAGTTGAACAAGTATACCCAGCTTCATCAAAAGCAGGGACCAGTTAACCAATACCAGAAGCCTAAGGGGGCCACTGTCTCTCCCGCTGTGGCGTTGCAAAGGAAAATGAAGCTAATGGTCAGTCAGCAGGCAAGAACTGCCTTGTCAAGTTTTGTCTTATGTTTGGTTTAATTAAATTTATTTTGCCTGGCTATGATATTTATATTGCTTAGCAAAAGTAGTTTTTAAAAAATCAGCCATCACTGAAGACCTGACTTATTTAGTTGAGTTACATGTTCATTCTTTTCAAACAAGTGGGTAGGAGATTCATTGGCTTCCTCTGGTTCACAATTTTGGGAAAATGTCTGTACACTCTAATTTGAGAAGGTTGGTGGTGACAGGTGGGACATGGGGGAGGGACAAAAATCTGAAACCTGCACGTCTAACTTGCAAAAGTATAAAAATATTGCATCCAGAGAACAATCAGTGCCAAACGACAACACCGCCCACACAGCCCCTGTGAAGAATGAAGGAACAGGGTGACCACTCAGGCTGACACAGTCCTGAGGGGACAGGGAGCCACCCACGCCTGTACCCACTTCATCTAATAGCACTTCATATAAACAAAGACATGCTGCCATAACAAAGGATACGTCGGTGGGGAAGCAAGAGACGGCGAGTCTCGAGTGGAGCTGTAACACACACACACGCACGCACGCACGCACGCACGCACACAAACACACACACACACACACACACACACACACACACACACACACACACACACACGAGCACACGTACTCACGGCTGAAAGAGCAATACTTACTTCTATCTCCAAATGAATGCAGCTTGCTAATCCATCTCTTGCAATACCTTCTATAGTGTCCCTATTTAATCCATAATTGTGATTGCCATAATTAAATGTTAGAATAAATTTCCCCTGGAATTAGAAAAATACAAAGATTTGCACATAACTGGTGCTGTCATGTAATGATAAAAATCACTTGATGTCTTAATTCCATCTGATTCCATCCACATTAGAAAGTGTTAGTCAGTACAGCAGAATGACAGACACAATGGTTATGGGATGGTAGAGCAATGTCAAACTCTGATGGGTATTATTCAGAATTCTTCCCGATGAAAACACGGTTTATTTCAATAATCCGTTGACAAAATGTCTGAGGAAGGTTAGGGGTGGAAGCTTCTGGAAGAACAGACCATGATGCTTGATTACCTATTTCCTTGCCAAATCCACACCACAAACCTGAATGGGTAACCTGAAGGCTGTGGGCATTCTAAAAGCTTGGGAAAGTCGATTCAGGCTGGTTTCCCTCATAAAGATGGATTTTCATTGAAACTGCCCCAAATGTTAGTCAACAGAATTGTTGCACAGCCTACAGTCATTTAACTATAAAGACTACCCTGTCTGTATACGCTGGAGGTTCATTTCCCATGACAGCCATATGCCCTTGCAAAAAGAAAAGAAAAAAGAAAATGTACATAAAAAATACCCTTCAAATTGTGACTTTTCTTTGACTATTTATTAAACCTTCAGGCCTAACCTAAACTGGGAAGCTGATGACAGCAGAAAGAATAAAAATGTGGTTGACCTTGGTAGATGTGCCTTCTGAAATGCATGATTTTAAAATAAATAATGTTCACGGATGCATCCAACCCTGTTAAGTGGCAGGCCCATCACTAAAAACAGCAAGCAGTTAGGAGTCTAATACCGTCATCATTAACAGCAGCAGCAGCAGCCTGGAGCCTCTTGCTACCCTCCCTGGTTCCAGATGTTCTGGAGATAACATATAGATGACAGACTGGCTATCTGCCAGAGGGATGTTAGGCAGGGGACACAGGGTGCCTTTTGGGTTGGTGGGTTTCTGGGGAATATGTATGCTGGGGAGTGATGAGAAAAATCATTATAATCAAAGATAGAAACCCAACAACATATGCCCTTAGTTTTTTACTCTTTTGATGTCATAATCTCTTTGTTCTTTGAAAAAAATGTTCTGACTTTTTTCATATGTATGCATGTATTTAAATATGTACGTCTATGAATGTAGACAATGTGGCTATGGCTCGCCTTTCAGGTTTTAGCTTATTTACCATATGTGATGGTTAAGTTCATGGGTCAACTTGGAGAATATTTGGGGGTGAGATTAACAGTGAAATTGGAAGAAGCAGATTGTCCCGGAGTGTGGGTGGACCGCATCCAATCCCTTTAAGACTTGTGCAGAACAGGAAGGTCGCACACAGACTCTATGTACAGGTTCTGTTTCTCCCAAGAACTCTAAGACTCTATTGTGAGCCCTGTTTCCAAAATGTACGCATATCTGAATTACTTTCAGATGCATGCTTGTTCACTTCCTCTGTGGGTCTCATACACATTTTCTGGAAGCATGCATGGTTGGAAGAGACCTGGCACTGTGTGTATAATATAGAAGACATCCCATTCAACTCATCTGTTAAGCATTGAGATGGTACAGTTCCCCCAGCTCTGGCCAGTCACATTCCCTTCATTTCCTAGTGCATGTGGGTTTCCTAATAAGCAGCAGTGGTCACACATCAAAAGCCTCCAGTGGTTTCACTTCCACAGGAGAGGGAGGGCATTGCTCCTCTATAGAGGGCTGAAGTATCTGTCTAGAGACTGGTAGGTGAATGATCTGCTGGTTGGAGGCGGTGCTGGCTGCACAGACATGTTAGCATGAGAGAGGGCAGAGGTCCAATGTTCTATCCATCTAGCATCTACGTGTGGCTGCTCACAGTAGATGTGGGGGGCAGATAGGCCAGAGTGTCTATCAGGAGAGCCAGGCTGTCTGGGCAGGTGGTGTGTGGAGAGGCTGACAGTGAAGCCTCACAACATGTCAGGAATCTGTGACTCTCTAGGCTTAGCTCTCTTCATGAAACAGTGTCACACTCTAAAGAAAAGGAGATTGCAGGTGAAACCCAAGTTGATGAAAATTACATCGGAGTAATGCATGGTGGCAGAGACAGGAAAAATGAGTTCTTCTCAAATACATGGGGATTTCTGTGGAGCACTAAACTGTAAAGCTAAATATAGCCTAGAAGTGCTGTGACTTCTTAGACTGGGGACTGAACCAGGCTAAGGTGATTATAGGCCTGATAAGCTGGGAACATCAGAGAGCAGGTGCAGGGTCTGAAGAACAGATAAACCAAACTCCCGGAGAAAATGCCCCACTCTGGGGGGCAAGGGAGGAGGGGAGGGAGAGGGAACTGGGATCGACATGTAAAACAAGCTTGTTTCTAATTCAAATAAAAAATCTGGAAAAAAGAAAGAAAATGCCCCACTCTAACAGCAGAAATTAATATCCACGTTGGGATGGAGCAGGGGGAGGGGCTTCCATCTTCAGGTGCTGAAGAATCTCTTCATAGTACTATGAAGACATATCCCAAATCTATTTTAAAGGCTTTTAGAAAGATAAATTTCCAGGAAACTCTTAATAAGTCAGGCAGACCTGTCAAAATACAGTCCTGTGAGAAGATGTGTGATGGTCAAGATGTCCAGTTGACGGGATTGTAAGGAGAACTGCCCAGGGAGTCTGTGACTCCCTTACTTGTATTTCTGTGGGAACAAGATGAGCCCTGAGACACACATCATGGTAGAGTTGGCTGTCCAAAACTAAGCTAGTGGAATTGCACAGCCCAAGCTTAGCTGTCCCATGATATATACACTGGAGATTTAAGCCAGGTCTATTGTTTTGGGGTAAAAACAGAGAAAGAAGGGAGGGAGAAGAGAGAAAGAGAGTGAGGAGACGTAGTACTCCTGGCTGAATGCGGATGCTCACGGCACAATGACTGGTCCATCATCTGGCATTCAGTAAGCTACCTAAGAGGATGAAGTGGCACCTGCTTCACTTGGTGAGAGGAAGGACTGTGATGTAAACAAAACTAAGGTTCATGCAAAGAAAAAGTAAGAGGCACAGATTTGCCAGGGGTTATGGCGGTCAGAGATGCACTTTCAGGGTAATGAAGTCAGGGTGGGTGTGTACTGAATTAGTGTACACTTAAAACTGGTAAAACACACTCAGTTGTGAGCATTCTCTTCCGCACGAAGGCAAAGAGGAAAAAGTGTTTAAGAAAATGCATGCAAATACAAGTGGATTTGCACCCCCCTCAATGATGAGCCCATCAGGGTGGAGAAAAGTTCCAGATTGAACTAGACTTAGAAAATGCACAACATCTACTCCTTACCTTCTCAGAAACCACTGTTTCCTCATATTTCTAAGAAAATGGATTTCTTCTGTGATAAAAAAAAAAAGGTGAGGGGGGGAGGAAACAGTAGGGAGCAGCCTTACCATGCTCAGCATTTCATCAAAAACTTCTTGAGAGATAAAGTGATAATCAACTCGATCCCCTTCACCAAAGTACGGCGGTCTTGTGGTGTGACAGGCCCTGAAGTCACAAAAAACAGAGAACACCGGGCTATTCTTAGCAACTTGAAAGTCACAGTGGAAACTCTTTCGTTGCAAACAATGTTTAAGAAATGAAATTGACCCATAGATAATAAGTCATAAAGTAATGTAACTGTGAAAACAGCGTGCCTTACAAGTCTTAGACTATCATTAACCACTATCATCTATGAGGAGTATTCAAATTTTGGCTCATCAATACCCAATGTTTACTTACATTATTCATCGCCTTCTCAGTCATCCCCTCTGCCACCATGTAATGACAGTCTAAGAAGTATCGAAGTATGGACTGCTCACCCTGCGGCTTTCCTGTTCCCTCTGATCTATGAGCATTCCTAGACGGCCCCCTTCCTCTCTCTGCACATGGCCACTTGTTTGACAGGATGAGGTTTAAGTGATAACTTCTCCATACTTCTCCTAATGTCTTCTGGTAGAGTCTGCAGGTCTTTATACTCCCACAACCTCAGCCTACACCACCCACATTCTCAACTGCGTGTTAAGGGCCCATCTCCCCCTCCGCCTGAGGGCAGAAAGGTCGCATTCTCTCCGGACTGTGGCTTTGTACTAGACTTCCACATGAGCCTCTATGGGAACACACGGTTCAAGCGGGGAATGAATTCTTAACCAGAGAGGCCTTGTCTATCCACTGTCTTGAAATAGCATCCTGAAGTATACATACATACACACACATATACATGTACACACACACACACACACACACACACACACACACACACACACGCACACATACATGTACACATACACGCACACACACATAAGTATACACACACACACACATACACATACATACATGTACACACACATACATATACACACATACACGTACACACATATACGTACACACACACATACATGTACACACATACATGTACACACATACATGTACACACACACAAGTGTACACACACGCACACACATACATGTACACACACATACACATACATACATGTACACACACATACATGTACACACGCACACACACATGTACACATACATGTACACATACATGTACACACATACATGTACACACACATACATGTACACACACATACATGTACACACACATACATACATGTACACACGCACACACATACATGTACACACATAAATGCACACACATACATGTACACATACATGTACACACATACATGTACACACACACACACATGTACACATACATGTACACATACATGTACACATACATGTACACATACATGTACACATACATGTACACATACATGTACACATACATGTACACATACATGTACACATACATGTACACATACATGTACACATACATGTACACATACATGTACACATACATGTACACATACATGTACACATACATGTACACATACATGTACACATACATGTACACATACATGTACACATACATGTACACATACATGTACACATACATGTACACATACATGTACACATACATGTACACATACATGTACACATACATGTACACATACATGTACACATACATGTACACATACATGTACACATACATGTACACATACATGTACACATACATGTACACATACATGTACACATACATGTACACATACATGTACACATACATGTACACATACATGTACACATACATGTACACATACATGTACACATACATGTACACATACATGTACACATACATGTACACATACATGTACACATACATGTACACATACATGTACACATACATGTACACATACATGTACACATACATGTACACATACATGTACACATACATGTACACATACATGTACACATACATGTACACATACATGTACACATACATGTACACATACATGTACACATACATGTACACATACATGTACACATACATGTACACATACATGTACACATACATGTACACATACATGTACACATACATGTACACATACATGTACACATACATGTACACATACATGTACACATACATGTACACATACATGTACACATACATGTACACATACATGTACACATACATGTACACATACATGTACACATACATGTACACATACATGTACACATACATGTACACATACATGTACACATACATGTACACATACATGTACACATACATGTACACATACATGTACACATACATGTACACATACATGTACACATACATGTACACATACATGTACACATACATGTACACATACATGTACACATACATGTACACATACATGTACACATACATGTACACATACATGTACACATACATGTACACATACATGTACACATACATGTACACATACATGTACACATACATGTACACATACATGTACACATACATGTACACATACATGTACACATACATGTACACATACATGTACACATACATGTACACATACATGTACACATACATGTACACATACATGTACACATACATGTACACATACATGTACACATACATGTACACATACATGTACACATACATGTACACATACATGTACACATACATGTACACATACATGTACACATACATGTACACATACATGTACACATACATGTACACATACATGTACACATACATGTACACATACATGTACACATACATGTACACATACATGTACACATACATGTACACATACATGTACACATACATGTACACATACATGTACACATACATGTACACATACATGTACACATACATGTACACATACATGTACACATACATGTACACATACATGTACACATACATGTACACATACATGTACACATACATGTACACATACATGTACACATACATGTACACATACATGTACACATACATGTACACATACATGTACACATACATGTACACATACATGTACACATACATGTACACATACATGTACACATACATGTACACATACATGTACACATACATGTACACATACATGTACACATACATGTACACATACATGTACACATACATGTACACATACATGTACACATACATGTACACATACATGTACACATACATGTACACATACATGTACACATACATGTACACATACATGTACACATACATGTACACATACATGTACACATACATGTACACATACATGTACACATACATGTACACATACATGTACACATACATGTACACATACATGTACACATACATGTACACATACATGTACACATACATGTACACATACATGTACACATACATGTACACATACATGTACACATACATGTACACATACATGTACACATACATGTACACATACATGTACACATACATGTACACATACATGTACACATACATGTACACATACATGTACACATACATGTACACATACATGTACACATACATGTACACATACATGTACACATACATGTACACATACATGTACACATACATGTACACATACATGTACACATACATGTACACATACATGTACACATACATGTACACATACATGTACACATACATGTACACATACATGTACACATACATGTACACATACATGTACACATACATGTACACATACATGTACACATACATGTACACATACATGTACACATACATGTACACATACATGTACACATACATGTACACATACATGTACACATACATGTACACATACATGTACACATACATGTACACATACATGTACACATACATGTACACATACATGTACACATACATGTACACATACATGTACACATACATGTACACATACATGTACACATACATGTACACATACATGTACACATACATGTACACATACATGTACACATACATGTACACATACATGTACACATACATGTACACATACATGTACACATACATGTACACATACATGTACACATACATGTACACATACATGTACACATACATGTACACATACATGTACACATACATGTACACATACATGTACACATACATGTACACATACATGTACACATACATGTACACATACATGTACACATACATGTACACATACATGTACACATACATGTACACATACATGTACACATACATGTACACATACATGTACACATACATGTACACATACATGTACACATACATGTACACATACATGTACACATACATGTACACATACATGTACACATACATGTACACATACATGTACACATACATGTACACATACATGTACACATACATGTACACATACATGTACACATACATGTACACATACATGTACACATACATGTACACATACATGTACACATACATGTACACATACATGTACACATACATGTACACATACATGTACACATACATGTACACATACATGTACACATACATGTACACATACATGTACACATACATGTACACATACATGTACACATACATGTACACATACATGTACACATACATGTACACATACATGTACACATACATGTACACATACATGTACACATACATGTACACATACATGTACACATACATGTACACATACATGTACACATACATGTACACATACATGTACACATACATGTACACATACATGTACACATACATGTACACATACATGTACACATACATGTACACATACATGTACACATACATGTACACATACATGTACACATACATGTACACATACATGTACACATACATGTACACATACATGTACACATACATGTACACATACATGTACACATACATGTACACATACATGTACACATACATGTACACATACATGTACACATACATGTACACATACATGTACACATACATGTACACATACATGTACACATACATGTACACATACATGTACACATACATGTACACATACATGTACACATACATGTACACATACATGTACACATACATGTACACATACATGTACACATACATGTACACATACATGTACACATACATGTACACATACATGTACACATACATGTACACATACATGTACACATACATGTACACATACATGTACACATACATGTACACATACATGTACACATACATGTACACATACATGT